TGTGATTGGCACAGGACAGAGCGGAGTTTAGGGCTGTTGTAGGGTCGCTATGAGTCGCAGGCGACTCGACAGCACATAACAACAACAACCATTTTCTTGTGGTGTTGAATAACACTGCTATGAACTTGTTGTACAAGTCTCCTTTTGTGCTTCAGTTCTCATTTTCTTGAGATATATTCGAAGCAGTGGAATAGATGGGTCATATGGAAATTTTATGTTCAGCTTTCTGGAAAAATACCAAACTGCCTTCTTGAGTGGTTGTACTATTTCACAATCCCACCAATAATGTAGAAGAGTTCCAATCTTTCCACATCCTCTCCAACATTTATTACGTGTTGTCATGCTAAACTTTGCCACTTTTGCTGGGGTGATATTATATCTCATTGTGGTTTTGATTTGCATCTCTCTTCTTGCCAGTGATTTGGAGCATTTCTTCATGTGTCTGTTTGCCATCCAGATATTTTCCTCTATGAAAATTCTTTCCATGTTTTTGCCCATTTTGTAATTGGGTTATCAGTCTTTTTCTTGTGGAACTGCAGGAGGAGTATTCTGTAAACTTTTCTGGAGACTCTTGTCTGAGCTGGTATTCCCAAATGTTTGTTCTCAGTCTGTAGGTTTTCTTTTCAATATGTTGGAAAACGTTTTTGATGCACACATGGATTTAATCTTTAGACGGTCCTATTCATTAGTTTTATGGAGGCTGGGATTTTGAAACACCATCTCACATACTTTTAGCACATGACTTAGAGAAACAGGTCCTTGGAGAAGGGCATCTTGCTTGTAAAGACAGATTGACAGCACAGGGGAAGAAGACCCCGCGTGAGATGGATTGATATAGTAACAATGGGCAATGGGAATTGGTGTGTCAGAATTAGTGTGACTGGCTCATGACAGAGCAGGGTTCAAAGCTGCTGTACATAGGGTTGCTATGGGTTGCAGGTGACTTGATGGCACGTAATAACAGCAAAAACAACAACAAAATTCTTTTTAGGTCTACAGTTCTATAGTTTTTTACAATCACAGTGTTGCTTAATTTTTACCACTGGCAAGGTATACAGCAGTGTCTTTACCCGCATCCAATACCCTCATGTTTCTTCCAATACCCCGTGTATCATCCTTATGCTTTCTATTTCTATAATGCAGACTGTTCAGGAATGTTAGATGAATGTAACCTTTTCTTAGAGAGAATGTCTTCTCTCTAGAAATTGCACATTTATTCTCTACAAATTACAGTCTCTAGAAATTACACATTTACTCTCTACAGATTACACATTTGTAATTTATATGTGCTGTTCATGCATAAACAAGTATTTTGTTCCTTAGCTTGATTGAGTCACTTTCCACACCCTCCTATTTTGAACCTCTGGACTCACTTTGTTCCACATGCCTCTCTGGCATGTCATCAGTGGCTAGTTAGGCTTTCCTTCTGTCTGTGAATCATGGTGTAATTACCACACCCACATGCCCTCCCTCCCATATTCATTCCTTATTCCATTTCCTGGTTTGAGTTAGTTATATTTTCATTTTAACTTTTCATGTTCTATTTTGTAAGTTCAAATAATCAAACTTTGGTTCCTTTTTTTTTTTTCTGTAGAGAAGATCCAATTGTCTTCTAGGGCAAAAATGTAAGAAAACTAATTTGTTTTCTGTCCATGTTCCTTTAGTTGTATGTTTACATTGCCATTTATCATCTTCATTCTCAGTGGCAGGAGGATGAGTGGGTGCTTAATCTGAGAAATACAGAGACAAACATGAAGGCCTATGGATGTACTTTTTTGATGGCTGATCTCTGTTATGACTTCTGTACTTGTTATTAAATGATCAGATTCTAGTACAGAACAATCCTTCCTAGTAGATTGTGATGTGAAAGCTCTCTGAACCTCATAGACTATACTAGATGATTCTTAAAATCTGGTCTGGCTTTTAAAATATCAGCCTCCCTATTTATGTCATTACTTGTAAATGTGAAGATATTGATATGATAGTTTTACTATTTTAGTTGAAATGTTTCAGACTTAATATTTAGTGTATTTGGCTACATCACAACTTAAAGTCTCATTCTTCACTCATTACCATCAAGTCAGAACTGACTTATATCTAATCCTCTGGTGGGTTTTCTAAGATTGTTGATTGAATGGAAGAAGATTATCCATCTTTCTGTTTTGGAGTTACTGGTGGATTTGAGCCACCAAAAAGATATGATGTTTGAGTTAGAAGTGTAACTTTCTAATCTATGAGAAGGATGTATGTCATTTGTAAAATTATTATTGGTTTTATTGAGTGAATGGTGAAAAAAACATGTGTATATGGTTGTTGATATGTTCTGTTAAGTTTAAACCAATTCATAATTGACCCTTCACCAGGTTTTCAGAGACTTTAAATACAACAGGAAGCTTTAAATACCTTTCTCCCTTGGAGCAGGTGGAGCAGCTGGTGAATTTGACCTGCATTCCTTTGGATTGTCAACACAGCTTACCACTAGGCTACCAGAACTCCACAAGAGCTCTATTTATATAATTTTTCATTTATATATTTTACCATATTATGGCTCATGACTGAATAGAAATTATTTTTATGTCTTTTAAAAATTATTCAGTTAGTATAACTTTATTCCACTCTGCTTCTCCCTCTTTGGAATCTTTCTTTGTGGCAGGGTCAAGCTCTGGAACAAGCCATTATCAGCCAGAAACCGCAGCTGGAGAAGCTCATTGCCACCACTGCTCATGAGAAAATGCCCTGGTTCCATGGAAAAATCTCTCGGGATGAATCTGAACAGATTGTCCTGATAGGATCAAAGACAAATGGAAAATTTTTGTAAGTAGTATGTCTTTTCTCTGTATTCACCTACTGCCAGATCTGTTTGAAAATTGAACTACTTCAGCTTTCTTTTTAGTGCACTCCAAGTGGCAACGGGAAAGCAGAAGTACACATGTACACACATGTTAGCCTACTCTGAAAACTTGGATTGTAACCCTCAATTTTAACTTCCTTTGTAGGTTTCACTAGCTACCCCCTTAAAGTGAGCATTCTTTTTCGCCATTGAGGAACATAATACTTGAAGAAAATGAAATTTATTAAGCTATACATTTTGCTTTTAATGATAAATATAATGTGCATTAACAGTTTCTTTGACTGTCCAACAAAAGTGAAAACACAACAGTTAATTCATTTCATTCATTCTATTATGCTAAGACTTTTATATTTACTCAGAATTAAATACTAATAGGACACATACTAAAGAAAATGGACTTGTTCTGAATGTGTGACTGTAGCCTATACATTAAAAATTTGAACAGAATATGTGTATTCTGACCTTGCTTTTTGGCTTTTAAAAAAATCTTTATTGATTCAGTGTAACTGTAAATACTGGAAAACTTTGAAGATGCAAAATCCAGGCAGAATTATTGGTAAAGAGAAGAAACTATCTTTTGGTCCTGGTCAGTGTTGCTCTTCAGGGTCTCTAGCAGAAAATGGCAGGGGAGGATGATGCTGACCTGGCACTTTTTTGTTTTTTTCATCTCCAATCACTGTCTCTTGGGAGATTCTTACTGAGTGTCACAGAGTAAAACCAGTATATTGTCATTTTGGAGAATTACAAGAGAACTACTCGACATAGTAGACCAATTTAGCAATTGGATTGCTCTACAGTGACAAAGAGAATATAGAATGGCAGCTAAGTCAAACAATACCCCTCACAGTAGCTAATCACAAGATTAAACAGTTGAGAGTAAATTCAACTAGAAACACAAGGATCTATTAAAAAAAATTACAGAACATTACTCCAAGAAACAAAAAGACAATTGGAGAAACAGAAGAATATCTTGCTCATGGATAGGAACACACAATGTTGTGAAAATTACAGTCCTGCCATAGGTATTCTACATGTTCAGTGCAATCCCAATACAAATACCAGTTCCATTCTTCAATGAGATGAAAAAGACAGTCTTCAATGAGATGGAAAAGGCAGTCTCCAATTTCATTTGGAATGGAAAGAGACCCCAATTAAGCAAAGCACTCCTTAAAAAGAGAAACAATGTAGGAGACATCTCACTGCCCCAAAGAAAAAAGCTTAACAGGGAGGAAAATGTGCAACAATGAGTGAATGGAAATCCAAGTTCTTAATAAGCTTTTATTAAAATATCAATTAAAAAATAATTAATAAAAATAATTCTTTGGACAAAATAGTGTAATCCAGCAGAATGACTAAGGCTTCCTAACTCTTAACCAAGGTGTGTTGTTGTATTAATGACATACTGTGATGAACCAAATTTTTCTCAGAATTTCCTGTTCTTAAAAATAGGTGGTTTTGTCCTTTGGAGCCCTGTTGTTGCTGTCTTGCCAAAGCAGTCTGCATAAGCCCCATAGAGAATGCAGGAAGGGCTGTGCATAAGCCTCGTGTAGAGTAGAGAACACGGAAAGCTCAACAGTTCTGGTTGACATTTTTTGTTTCCTCACTGCCTTGCACAGCCTACATCTCATTTGGCCTCATTCAGTCTCATTCACGTCTTTGCTTTATCTAGTTTCCTCCATATCAGGGAGAATACTGAGTTTACTTAAGAGATGCTTAAACCTGGCATGTTTTAGAGTCAGCTGCTAATGTCTGAGCTACTGATGGCATGTGAGACCCCATTCACATTTCTTTGAGTCCTCTGAATTCTTAATCATTGAGTTCTTAGGTTGTAATCATCTGGTAACAATGTACCAAAAAGAATTGGCTGACACAGAAGAATTTAAAACAACATATGATCAAGAGCCAATGGTAAAAAAAAAAGAGAGAGAGAGACAATTGTGATGGAGGAAGTTCAAGCTGCTCAGAAGAAACTGGCAAAAAAACCAAGGCCCTAGGAATTGATGGCATATGAATTGATGTATTTCAATAAACAGATGCCGCCCTGGACACACTTACTGAGTTGTGCCAAGCAATCTTGAGGACAACTAACTGGCCAACTGACTGGAAAAGATCCATATTTATTTTCATTCCAAAAAAAGTTGATCCAATAAAATATGGAAATTGTTTACCAATATCACTAATATCACACACAAGCAAAATCCTACTGAAAATAATTTAAAAAATGAATGGAATAGTACATTAACAGAGAACTACCAGAAATACAAGCTAGGTTTAGGATAAGCCATGGTACTAGAGATATTATTGTCAGTGTCATACGGATCTTGACTGTAAGCAGAATACCAGAGAGATCTCTATCTGTGTTTCATTAACTATGTGAAGGCATTTGCCTGTGTAGATCACAAAACTGTGGCTAACCTTGAGAAGAAAGGGAATCCCAGAACATATCTACTCATATGAAACCTATTCTTGGACCAGAAGGCAGTTGGCAGAACAAAGCAAGTAAACAAAATAGCAAGGGAGTGTGTCAGACATGCACCCTGCCTCCTTATATTTTCAATCTTTATGCAGAACAAGTCATTCTGGAGGCTGAAGTTTATGAGGAGGAATGTGGCATGGGGATTGGAAGAAGACTCATCAACAACTCGCATTAAACAGATGATACAATCTTGCTTGCTGCAGAAGGTCAGTGGATGAAAGCTCAATATCAAGGAGACAAGGAGACAAAAATTCTCATCACTGAGCTAATTGACTGCACCATGATAGATGGAGAAGGGATTGAAGTTGTTAACAATTATAACTTGTTCAGCTCCACTCTTGACACCAATACTATGGAAATCAAGAGACGAATTGCATTAGGGAGATCTGTCAGGGACCTCTCCCGTGTGCTAAAGAGCAATGTTGTCAGTCTGCAGACTAAGGTGCACCTTATCCAGGTTGTGGGTTTTGCAGTTACTTGTCAGAAAGCTGGACAACAAGTAAGATGATAGAAGAAGGATCAATGCTATTGAGTTGTGGTGGTGAAGAAGAATATGGAGCATGCTGGGGACTGCCAGGAGAGTAAATAGGTCTATTCTGGAGAGGTGTAACCAAACTGCTCTTTAAGACAAGGATTTTGAAGCTGCATCTCACATATTTTGGGCATGATTCCAAGAAGGACCAGTCCTTGGATATAGACATCATACTTGGAAGGGTGAAGGGATAGAGCTGAGAGGACTTTGAATGAGATGGATTGACACAGTAACTAGGGTAATGGGGGTTAAGGATGTTGAAAACAGTGAGACTGGCTCAGGGATAGGGTGGAGTTCAGAGCTATTGTATATAGGTGGCTGTGAGTCACAGATGACTCAGTGGCACATGTTGTTGTTGTTATGTGCCCTTGAGTCACTTGTGACTCATAGCGACCCTATGTACAACAGCCTTAAACTCTGCTCTGTCCTGTGCCAATCACACCGTCTCTGACACTCCCATCCCAATTATCCCAGTCACTGAATCAATCCACCTCATAGAGGGCCTTCCTCTCCTGCGCTATCCCTCCATCCTCCCAAGCATGATGTCCCTCTCTAAGGACCGGTCTCTCCTCACAACATGTCCAAAGTATGTTAGACGGAGCCTCAGAATCCTTGCCTCCAAGGAGCCACCCGGTTTAACCCTTTCCAGGACGAATCTGTTTGTTTTCCTAGCAGTCCATGGTATTCTCAATACTCTTCTCCAGCACCACAGCTCAAAGGCATCAATTCTCCTTCTATCCTCCCTGGTCATTGTCCAACTCTCTGATGCATAACAGGTGATTGCGAAGACCATGGCCTGTATCAGACGCACCTTAGTCTCGAAAGAGACACCATTGCTCTTCAGTACTTTGGAGAGGTCCCTAACAGCAGACTTTCCCGTGGCAATGCGCCTTTTAATTTCCTGGCTGCTGGTGCCAAGACTGTTGACTGTGGAGCCAAGCAAACTAAAGCTGTGTACAATCTTAATCTCTTCACCATCCATCCTGATGCTGCCAACTGGTCCAGTGGTGAGAATCTTTGTCTTCTTGACATTGAGCCTCGGACCGTACTGAAGGCTGCAGTCCTTGACACTCTGCAGCAGGCGCTTCAGGTCCTCTTCAGTTTCAGCAAGCAGGGTTGTGTCATCCACATAACGCAGATTGTTGATAACTCGTCCACCAATCTTGACTCCACATTTCTCCTCATAGAACCCAGCCTCCCGGATAATCTGTTCTGCATATAGGTTGAAAAGGTATGGAGATAGGATGCATCCCTGGTGTGCGCCCTTCCCAATTTTGAACCATGCAGTGTTACCCTGCTCTGTTCTGATGACTGCCTCTTGGTCCAAGTATAGGTTTCACATTAGCACAATTAAATGTTCTGGGATTCCCATTCTTCTCAGAGTCAGCCATAGTTTGTTATGATCTACACAGTCAAATGCCTTTGCATAGTCAATGAAACTCAGATAGACATTCCTCTGGTATTCCCTGCTTTCAGCCAAGATCCATGTAACATCAGCTACAATATCCCTAGTACCACGGCCCCTTCTAAACCCAGCGTGGACTTCTGGCAGTTCTCTGTTGATGGGCTGTTCCAGTCGTTGTTAGATAATCTTCAGTAAAATCTTGCTTGCATGTGAAATCAGTGAGATTGTTCTGTAGTTTCCACATTCTGTTGGGTCACCTTTCTTTGGGACAGGAACAAATATCAATCTCTTCCAGTCAGTTGGCCAAGTGGTCGTTCTCCACATTTCTTGGCACAACTTGGTGAGCACGTCCAGGGCAGCATCTGTTAACTGAAATATGTCGATTGGTATACCATCTATTCCTGGAGCCTTATTTTTTGCCATTTCCTTCAGTGGCACATACAACAACAAAACAATAGGTATTAACACCTGTAATGATAGTATTCTTGGCCCTTTCAGCTTTATATTTCCTACACTCTTTCTTAGCACCTCTGAGATTTTTGAGACTCTT